TGGCAATTGGGGTTATAGGCATCTCGTTATTTCTCTTAAATGTTGAAAAGATTTTACCCAGAAGCCCAGGAAGCCTCTCTTTGAATATCACTGGCCCAGTCCAGCTTGAGCCTGCCATTTGAGAACCAGTCACTGGCAAGGACAGCCAATTACTACAAGTGGCTAGAGTGATGACCAAGATGGCATGAATATTAGGGAATCAACCATCATTACTAGTGGTACATGGACTTCCTCCAAATACATTCAGTACATGCAGATTCTTGGGTAGTTATTTGGCCTCCCTGTGCCTTGATTTCTCTTATATGTCAAATGAAATAAAAAATATACCAGACCTTTTTGCCTCACATTTAGGGACTGGGTGTTGAAAGGTAAAGTAAATGATGTGAAAATACTCTGAATCAAGGAGATAACTATTAAAATTCAAAACAGTATTAACTTAGTTGTGATCACTTAATGAATTAAAGGCCAGCCTCTATTTAGACAAACAAGAATATGACAGAGTTTAATCATAAAGCACAGAATGAAGACAACTGGAGAGAAATTTGGGAATAAACTTCAAAAGCATGAAAATATTACATATTCTTTGCCTACTTTTAGAAATTTAAAATGAGTAAATTATCACATACATGGGCAAAAATTAAAAATTTAGCTGGAAGAATGTTGATTCATCCTATTGTGTTTGTTATTGCAAAAAAAATATGAAAATAATCTAAATATCCAACAGGAAGAGGCTAAACATATATACCATACAATATTATGTGGTCATTAAAAATGATAATGTATCTGTCTTTGGTTTCATCACCCAGCCCCCACTCCTGTGTCACTCTGTGACACATCGTCAGTACTCAATAAAAAAAAGATGATGTAGCTTTATTTATATATATTAGTTTAAAAAGATATTCACAGCATACAATAAAGTAAAAAAGAACATATTGCTAAAAAGCACATGTAATATAATTTAATTTATATAAAGTCTTATGTACTTTATATATATATATTCTGAAATGTTTTTCATAAAATTATTAACAGTGGTGGAGATACCAGATGAATTTTGCTCTGTTCTCTTATTGTGATAACTGAATTTTTTTATAATGAGAATGTTTTATTTTTTAAGGATGACAAAACTATATTTAGAAAAATGGTATAGAAAAATATTTAATGGCATAGAAAGATATTCAGAAATATTGTTTCATGATATAGCACACAAAATTATTCACACTACGATCCCATTCTTGCATTTAAAAGTATATCTACATGTATAGAAAAAAGACTAGAAGGTTACGTACCAAAATAATAGCAATAGTTATACCTGAGAGATGATAGGGTTTTATATATATATGTGTGCTTTTAATTTTTTTTAAGACTAAAGGAAAATTGAACTGAATTTTAAATGCAGATTTTAAATTTTAAAAAGATTAAAGAAACTGGAGATGAAAAGTATAGAAATTGAACAAATATGACTTTAAAACTCATTATAAAGCACTTGTATTCATCAGGTCAAATCATGTCCAAAGCGTATCTAATGAATAGAGAGTCTCTCTCATTAGCACATAAAAGGCCTGATACATTAATGTTAAACTGAGTTCTACCATCTTTCTCCCTGCTAAAAGCAAAACTGGAAGAGACATACTTTATGGACTAAGAACAGAAATAGGTGTCAGCGGCTCAGGGCTCGAATCTGTTCTGTACTAGTAATTACCTTTCTCTGAGTAAATCATAATTTTTCATTATCCTAGTTTATTGATTTGGAAAAAGAACAGTGAAAATACTGACTTCTTGATAGGGCTGCTATAAAAAGCCATAGATGTTAAGTACTTTAAAAATACTCAGCCAAAGCAACTGACTAATGAAACGTGGTTAAGGATTTTATTATGCCCGGATCCCGTGTTAAAAACATGGGGTTCACCCACTTGTTCAGTTGACATTATACATGCCCCTTGCTTGTGGGTGTGCTGCTGACCAGTTTGTGTACGTTTGCTCTGTCTGCCTGCTCAGCATCAGTTTCACCACCTTCTCTGTTTTGCTTTGCAGACAGTCTCTGTGAAACCGTCCAGTAGAGCACTTTGCCTTCGCTTGACCAGGATGTCAGCAGAGACCCAATGGCGGCCAAGCAGACCCTGGTTCCCAAGGATGTGGGAATGAGGCGAGGACCCCAACTGCTCGGCCTTTAGTTCCTGCCTCCGAGGCCCTTTCCTAAGGCCTGGACTCTTCAAGGATCCCTTCGTTTCTCTGAGTTACCCCATATCCTTCTTATGAATTCCTTTATTTCTTATGTCAATCACAGTTGGTTTATATTACTTACGACAAGGAAAATATAGCTTTTATAAGGAGCCTATATAACATCTCCCTGAGGGGAAAGGAATGCTAAACACTGTGTCATTCACGCAATATGGGAGCACTCACGCACACATGACCTTCAGGGATAGAATCCTTTCCTTCTGCTTAAACACAGAAGGGTGAGCTCCTGGCCTCCTGCGACCATCCGAAGGCATTACAGAATAGCACTTCTTGTCTTAGGCTCCTATTTCCAATATCTAAGGACTTGACTTGTGCTGTCTAATGTGGTAGCCACTACCACATGTGGCTATTTAAATTTAAATTAATGAAAACTCAATATAATTAAAAATCCAATTCCTTACAGTAGCAAATATCAAGCCTAGTGGCCACTGGACTAGCATAGATATAGAACATTTTTATCACTGCACAAAGTCTTTTTGGACAGTACTGGACTAGCCCATAGGCCCAAAGCCTGCTTCTTGATTCTCCATACACAGCTGACCTGCAAGTAGTACCCTTCACTGGCCTGTTGTGACATCCCTGAGTTCTCCAAGTGAATTTGCAAAATAAATCCCCCTGAGAGCCTGGGCACATTGGGAAAACTCTTAAAACTGACAAAGCACATTTTATAGGAATGCATTCAGAAAATCAGGGAGAATTTTTAGGATAGACAGAAGTCCTACGAAGCACTTTATTTGGTTTCAACGAATTAGGCTAAACATGCATGGTGTAATATGTTGTCAAGAAATGTTCTTAAACTTTAAAAGTGATAGAATCATTAAAAACTTAAAGAAGCTTTGAAAAAAGTTGTGAAGAGAAAAACGACAAGCCCCAGGCCTGGAATCCTAAGACCTGGAGGAGTCGGCCGCTTGCCTATGGCATGCCACTGCATGTGTGTGGGAGCTTCAGGATCCTCATTTATCAAATAAAACTAATACTAATAGAATCCTGCAAAGATAAAATGAAATAATATCGGTCAATGCTCTTAGCATGGTGCCTGACACCCTGATTTGAAATTAAAAAATGAAGAGAATCTAAGTTCTTGCAAGGCCAGATGTGAAGGGGTGGCCTGAGGGCACCAGGTGGTATAAATTATACTCAGCCATCCTGGATTCCTCAGGCTACAGGAAAAAATAATTAAGATTTGATATCACAGGTCTCCTATGATTCTATTGTCCACTTTCTCACCTTTCCCACCTCCTCCTCACTGTCAGCATCCCCATCTGTCCCCACCTGGGGACATGGCATGCACCTTTTCTCTAGGAGCTACTATTTTGAAAAAAGAAGTTAGTGATTTAAATGTTCTCAACCAACTCTTTAAGGAGAATGTGCTAATCAATGAAGAAATCAGAATTTGCAAATATAAGCTTAGTGTTTGGGGCTTTGAGTGGTAAAGATGCTAAGACTTGGCCCACTGTTCTCTCACTCTTGTTCGAGTCTGGTTTGCCTTAGGCTCATCAGTGTGCTAACTGTTGAAAAACTCAATGGTGGTTTTCATTGTTTCCTTCTGATGAATTTCAGAAGTGTAATAATGATTACCATGTATGGAGTTAAAAGAACACAGAGAGATCCTGAATGGGTTAACTTTACTGGAGAGTAACTGAATATGAGCCAGGAAGAATATATAACATATGTAAGTCCCATTAAGCTGTCATTACTTGGAAAGATAGTTTCCAGGCAAATAAACACCCAAATCTCACTCTTGCAGCTCCCTCTGAGTAGCACATTCAACTCGATCTCCCATCTTCACACATTCTGTTGACTTCAAAGAGAATTATGGGTGCACAAGAAAATGAGAATCAGGGATGGTAATTATAATCCTGAAAAAAGACAACACGCCAAAATTGAATTGCTCAAAAAAGAAAGCAGGGATGGGGACATTCTCCTTCAATATATTTAATGACTCAAAAGGGTCAAAGTGTTTTGGGGTCGAAATTTTTGTTGCCTTAAAAATAAAACAGAATTTAAAAATATACTTTCCTATGCTCCCCAGAGTTGAGGGTGAAATTTATTAATAATATTCACTTCTTTTATTCAGCTCACATTTTCTGAAGGCTCACGCTGTGCCAGAGACCAACATCGGCGGGTCCGTTCAACATACTGTTGAAAAGCTGTGTAAAACAAACTCAGCCTTCAAGCCGTCTAGAGGAACTGTCGTTAGAATTTCAAGTTTTGTATCTTTAAGTCAATGTGATAATGATAGAAAATAGCAACAGAGAAAGAAATGGCAGTATCTAGAGGAAAAGATGGACTAAGATGAATGTGAAAGGAAAGCTCCCTGGCAATGATAACTGGTATTTATTTCGGCAGGGCAGCAACCTGGTTATACCACAGCCCAGGGGAAGAACACAAGCAGCCCACGCTCCATCCTGCCAGGTAGTAGGACAGAGGTACATAGCCTGACTCCCAGGCTAGGAAACTATCCCCAGCAACACTCCCAGATTCCTCTACATAACCTTTGCTAGCCTACTTCCCAGGAATGTGTATTTCTTGCCAGTATCACCTTCCTAGAGTAACGTGGTTCACAGTTCTCTATCCTGGTAATAAGGAGGAAATCCTTAAACTGGTGCCAGGGAAAAACCGAGTCTACACAGGGAGAAACTGCTGGCATTTCCAAGTTTGACAAGAGCGGAAAGCACAATTCCACCTGGGCCATGACTTACCTTCAGAAGACAGGTAGGGTGTCTTTAAGGGAATAGAGACTTATCACAACAAAAGGATATTGGGCCATCAGGGCTGGGCAAAGCTGAGTATTTGGCATAAAAACACAGTGCATCATAACGAAGTCATTTAAAACAGAATCTGGAGGGGAGAAAAAAGCAGAAAGAGAAATTAGGTTCTTGTGGCCATCTTTAGGAAAGTAAGAGTGTAGATTTACTTGTTCTTGGCTACTGGTTCTTATACATTGATTTGGAGTATGATTTTACTATACATAGAAGCACTTCTTATAAAAACAATGATGTTGACAGAGTTTGAGATAAAAAATTAATTTCTGGGGACAATGGACAAAAAGTATAATATTTTAAAAAGAGACAGCTTTGTATGAATGGCACTAGGTACCTTAGCTGCAAAAAAAATTAAAAACATATATAATTAAAGAGTCACACATAGGCAGTACCATATATGCAGAATTAGGATATGGTCATTTCTTTATCTACTTATATACCAAGTTTATTTTTTCAATATATTTTTCCTTTATCTCTTTTTTTATCTCCTATTTCCAGAAGGAGCAATGAAGGATGAGAAGGTGATAGAATTATAGAAGAAGGAGATAGTAAGAGCAGAGAATTGGCGAGGGGGAAAAAAGCAACAAAAATAGACAAGACAAAGTCTGTGAGTAGCAACTAGAGGCAAACAAAAGACATCAGGAGATTAAAATGGTCCTATCTTTGAAGCTACTTTTTTTTTTATATGAGAGAGATTGAATTGTGTATTTCTTCCAGTATTTGCACCTTCCTAGAGTAACCTCGTTCACACTTCTCTACCCTGGCTAATAAGGAGGAATCCTTAAACTGTGCCAGGGAAAAAACGAGTCTACACAGGGAGAAACTGCTGGCATTTCCAAGTTGACAAGAGCGGAACACACATTCCACCTGGCCATGACTTACCTTCAGAAGACAGGTAGGGTGTCTTTAAGGGAATAGAGACTTATCACAACAAAAGGAATTGCCATCAGGCTGGGCAAAGCTGAGTATTTGGATAAAACACAGTGCATCATAACGAAGTCATTTAAAACAGAATCTGGAGGGGAGACAAGAAAGCAGAAAGAGAAATTAGGTTTCTTGTGGCAATCTTTAGGAAAGTAAGAGTGTAGATTACTTGTTCTGGCTACTGGTTCTTATACATTGATTTGGGATGATTTTACCTATACATAACGAATCCACT